CCCCAAAACCCCAAAACCCCTCAGACTAAAAATTGTGAGATATTAAATTTTCTTAATTTGCCATAATTTATTAAATCAAATTTGATGGAAATACAGTTATTGCACTAGGCAAGGTAATAATCATCATATAAATTGTTTTATTTACATTTTAATCACTTTCTTTTAATAAAAGATTACGACTTTCGCTGAAGCTCAGTGAATCTTCTACGCTTTTAGACTTCTGAAAGCCTTTAATCTTCACTCTGTAGAGTCTCTATTTAATCATCTCCAACTAGTTTCGTAAATGGATATGCTTAGAAAAGGGAACTACGATCTTCTTATAATATACTCTCAGCATTATCATCCAGACGATTTAACTTTTATAGATCGAGCCCAATTGTTAATTTTCCAGAGAATCTTTGAGAAGATTACAGGTATCCCAAACTTTTTTAGCTTGAATTATATCCAGAGCTTTCTCTTTTTATTGGTTTCCCACAGTGAGTTCTTTTAAGTTTTCTTTTTATTCTTAATTGAATGATATAATTGACAACAAAAGCAATGATTGCAAGACCGATCGCTGAAATAATAAGTATCCAATCTATTAAATGCTAAGATTATGATTGGTATTCAAGTTTCAAGAGCAAGGATACTTTGTTAATATCTCCATCAGTAAATTAGTTGCTCCCATTTATAGTTATATTGAACTAATTAAAATTGGTAATTCCTAGTTCATGTTTAACTTTGTTTTCTGATACTTATATAGATCTAGTTGCTTTATCATTGAATTGCTCCATTTTGAAGTTAATATGAGGTCTCATGCATATTCTTAGCACAAATATTTAGGAATCGCAAACGAAACTAACAACCAATTAGTCCTCAGAATTTGATGCTAAGTAGGGTTCCTAATTAAGCGATTTGCAATTCTAATTGGATGTAATATAGGTCAATTTAAACATTTTAGAGTTCAATCCTGAAAAGAATGATACTGCACCAACATAAACATCGAAATTTCCAAAAGCCCCTTGTTTATTTACAAGGAAAGCATAGCCATATTTATTTATAGCGAGATCCTAATCAAAAAAATCAAACTTGTTCCTTATTATCCTAGTCTGTACAGGAATCAAAGAAGTTTCAAAATTATCCAAAACTTAATCTCTGTCACATAGACTAACATTAAAAGTATAGACGAAAAAGCCATAGTTAGTTATAACATGTATAGTATACGGGAAATCTCCAACAGCCTAGAATACCCTAAGTTGGCCTCGTTATAAATTATCCTAATTTTTGAAATAGTTATCATCATTAATGTCAAAGTATTTCAGGATTATTTCCTATTGCAAATCAAAGATAAAGAATCCAGAAAACTCATCTACAATTATGAGGAAATTTGAAATCGGGACTTCTTAAATTTTTCCAGGTTTAAAAACATTCTTATTCACCTCCACAGATTGAAATTCATTAGTCTAAATATATTTGATGGTTGGATGCTTTTAAGATAAGTTAACGTTGACTGTGAAAATTTAGAGTAAGTTAGAGTAAGATCCTTCAATCCTGCTAGTTATTGCTATTTTAGCAGTTGTAACACTTGAGAATGGTATGTTAAGTGATGAATTCAGCTGTGCACAATCTATTATTTCATTTGGTATCTTTTATCCACCATTCAGAACTAATACTTCATAGTCTTTATTCGGAGTAGCAACATCATAAACTTTAAACATAGCTAATTTAAGAACATTTGGAAAATCAGAGAGGCATTAGTAACCCAGGAAATATACGCTGTATCTATCATTTGGATCAAAACTCTAATAAAAGAGATAGTAGGTTTGATAGTTGCTGACATTACATTAAAGTATTTCTTATGCCTGATAATCTTTCACTTTCTCTAGAGAATATCCGTCTGATAGAGAGAGATCTGAATCAGTATTTGGAATTTTTAGCACTGTTAGAGTTTACTGGGTATCCAAAATAAATATTAGTCTTCCCATGACGAATGTCCGAGATACTTTTCGATTGTAAGTTACGAATTCAAGATAAAAGGTGAATGGAGATATTTGACTGCCATCATCAATTGCACTCTCTGTACAATCTTAAATTTCCCCATCTTGTGAAAAATAACTGCAAGAAAATGTAAAGCTTAAGTTTTATCCCTAAATCAAAGATTCTAATAAAATTTTATCTTGTATATCATAGACTTCAGGATCATTTCCAAAAGCTAAGCTTGTTTCATTTGATTTGGTTAAAGAAGTTATAGCAAAACCTTGATTTTAGCTATAAATTTTCAGTTTTATATATTGATTTTCATTTTGAAAGAGCATTAAGCCATTCCTATCAAATAGAGAAATCGGCATAATCATTATCTCTGAAAGGAGGTATTTTTCATCGATCAAATTTCCTTATTTATCTTCTTTCATTATGAATGTGGAGCATTTTTGATATAGTTGATTTCTAAGACTTAAATCGCTATTAAGAGTAATATGATTATGTAAAATAACTGAGAGCATTTAAATCTATGACTACGATACAAGAGTCATTTCTTGCCTATTCCCATGACTAGTGATATAAATATATTTCTATCTAGAGTTCAAATATGATTATGTAGAGGGAATAGACATTATAAAGCTATTATGTTATGATGAATCAAGTCTAAATACAAATATTTGAGACTATGGACTCTGTTTTATTGAATCATCAAACAAAACTATTCCTATGTATCCATCATAAAATGTTCGCCAAAGTCTCTCGCTATTTTAATCCCTCGCAAATCCGAAAACTCCATACTCATAGAGTGGTAGACGCATCCTATAGACCAGATAGATCTTCATTTCGATGTCCCATACTTCTATTACATTATTGCCGTAGTATAGTATAAAGTATGTACAATTAAATATGTCAAAAGTAAAGATGTCAATACTTGTGTCAAAATATTTCTACCACATGATGTCAATTATTTGAAACTATTAATTACCATCTCCAAGCTAAACAGTAATTTTTTCATATACTGTGATTTTATTGTCCATCGATAAGGCAAAGAATATCCCCTTGTCCCCGCACATTATACGCCTAATTATATTTGTTTCCTCTACAACAAACGCTTGCTCAACATTAAGTTTTAAATCAAATGTTTCCCAAATAATAGTGAATTCCTAAAATATCTAGGCTCCATTCATTAGATTCGTAATTATATGGGCATTTTTAAAATTGCCATCATATTGGAAGTTTTAAATGTAGCTAAAAGTATCAAATTCTTCATCCAATTTTCTAAATTTCTCCCATGAAACACAATGTCTGACTGTGAAGAAATGGACTTCAAATTGATCACTCAACCAATTCTGATTGGTTACTTTAGCTATAATAAATAATGATCTAAGCTCATAATCTGGCCCAAAGTTAAGGAATTCAACCTAGGGTATATAAATTTCAGCTGTTTTATTTACTAGTAACTAATTTGATCCTATAAGATATGAACTAATAGTTGAGTTCGATTTATCTATACAAATAAGTACAAGCTAATCTGATTATACACTTTCATCATTACTTACATATATCTGATAAGGAAAGACGAAATTGTATGGACAAAGAGTAAAATCAAAAGATTGGTTAAACTTCACCTTAAAGTCTTTATTCACAAAATCAAAATAGCAAAATCCATCTTCACATTATTCTTCTGAATTGATGTCTTGTAATTCATTTCCAGATGGTTTCACTACTTGTAGCATATAATTTGGGCCATTAAAGTACTCAGTGACAGTATATTCAAAGCTGTCATCACCACAATTATAGAATATTGATTAATGATATTCTTTAGCTGAAATAGTTTAAGCAATTTAGACATTTTCTTTAGTGACAAACATAAACTGAAATGAAGCATCAACAAATATCTCATCAGGATTAGTAACTCTTAGTTGAAGAGTGAAAGACTATTAGTCAAACTTTTTAACTAAAGTCAAGTTTCTTGCATCAATTGATAGTTTTACATCAGAAAATGCTGTAGAATTCACAAATTTTTCATCTCTGTACCAGAGTACATTAAGATAATAATCTGGAAACTCATAGAAGTTTGTTTTACTAGCCTTAGGTAAGACATAATCATACTTTACTATATTAAAGTAGCTTGAATTTTTGCAGTAGACCCTCATAAACTATACACCAGTTATTATATTCTCAATAAGATGAACTATGAAGTTTGAATTAGAGGCTAAAATTGGTCTTCCAATGTGAGATGGATCCTAGCTTCTTGAATAGTAAACCTTTCTGATATTTAAATTCATAATCTAAGATTTATCGATTTCTACTACGCCAGGTGGATAAGCTAAACTCAGATAGATAGTGGATTGATCCTCAGGATTGGTATAGATAGAGAGCGCATTTTCAAACTCAATAAATTATGCAGTTATTTATTCAAGGTCACAGTTGAATAATATATCAAACTAAGTCAATATTGTGATAGGGAATAAGCAAGCTAGCATTCCAGCATTTTTAAAAAGCATGCCTATCATGAAACTTGGACGATCAATAACTTTGAAATCAATCAAGTCATCGAAGTTAAAAGGCGAAGTCAAATTAAGAATTTACTTAGTCCTAAAAGGATAATTTCCAATATTTAGGAATAGTGTAGTTAAATTTGCTTCTCTCATTTTATAAATAAAGTTCATATCAAGTTTGGTGATGCAAAGCTTATTTACCATTTATATTCCATCAAAAATTTGCTGGTAGGTCAGGAAGATACTATTATTGTTGCTTGAATTGCCATTGATAGATACTTCTTCACCGAGATATTAAATTCCTCTATCAAGATCAGGATGCTCTTCAAATTCCCAATATGACATATATCTGAAGATAGGTTTCTCATCTTCTTGAAAGTTCTCAATGATGACAATTGTGAAGAAATTTAAGAATTATCCATCCTAAAAAACTTCAGACAGACTTGTACAAAATAGATAGAGAGTAGTGTCTAATATCATGAGATCACTACATTTCTGATTTGTAATATGAGTGTCCAGTTAATAACTATAAATTTATTTAATTTAGCCCATAGCAAACTATGACGCATCATACTTTATAAATGTAAAATTACGGCTAACCATGTACATCGCTCTTTTTCTGTAGATGTATTCTCTATGTAGAAGTGTCGACCTTGGAAATGGATCTGCGTGATAGTCATATAGATCTTCACGCATTTATTAAGATGCAAGGATAATAGTCGGTGATGTAAGATTAACCATACTATTGAGGTAGAAGTCAAAGATTTCGACGCCTTTTTAGTCAATTATTCTATAATCATAATGTAAAAGCGATCCCATAAAATAATCGTATAGTTGAATAAACAGCTATTCATTTTCCTCCACTATGTAATTCGTGAAATTTTTATAATGAATGATCTTAGCAGACTTATCAGAGGAATCAAAAGATTTCAGCTTTAACTGTTATTATCTTTTTGTTTTTCGAGTCTAGCTTATTCCAATCCAGAATATCATAAAAATTATCAAGAAGTGTAATGAGTTTTTCATCATTTATATAATTATATGATTTTAATACGATTTAATAAGCACTTAATTTAATATCCGTCTCATCTCATGGGGTTTTGGGGTTTTGGGGTTTTGGGG